GCAGGAGCTGCCAGCCCTCACTGCCTGCACAGGGTATCAGTGGCCGTCTCACCTCTCCACTCGCCTCCGCTTCTGCGCAGGTGCTCTGGGGACAGAGGAGGGCTTGGGGATGGAGGAACCCTTCACAGCAAACACCGGGATGCGGGCTCTGCAGCCAAGGAAGAGACGGTTAGTGCCAGGGCCGGATCGCACCCGCCCTCGCGAGGCTGGGAGGCAACCAGGCCAACGCCGTCCACCTGCAGGGAACGGGAGTCACAGGAAACCTGCCCGGTGTTGTAAGGGAAACGATTCAAACAGGGGGAAGTCCTCAGGAGGTGGCAGCCGCCCGGGTACTGCTGCTCCCTAAAGCGGTGGCGCCGTTCCCCTGTACCTCGGTTCCCCAGCTACCCTCTATAGGAACTACCTCGTAGAGCTGTAGGAGACCGAAGGGCGTCCTGTATTACTAAGGGTGTGCAGGTCTCTGGTTTTGGTCACACAGTGGTTACGCAAATTCACACAGCTCTCTAAAAGCCAGAGCCTCTTTGAAGCACCAGCAATTAAAAAAAAAACCCAAACAAACCAAAACCACCCCCAAAAACCACAACGAAAAACCCCACTCTTGCTCCGAGCTCTCTGGGAGCGGAGGCGATGCCCCACCCGCTCCCCAGCCAGCACGTGGGGCTCCAGAAGCCAGCTGGAGGATGCTCCTCCACGTCCAAAGGGAAATGGAGGAGAAATAGATTTTCTTGGAATGCTTTTTATATCTTTGCAAGCAATTCACACACGAGCTCGGCCCGCCGGCTACCCGTCCGCAGGCAGAGTGTCTTCTGCCTCATCTCCCCTCTTTGCAGAGCTGCAGCGATCCACAAAGGATTCACCCAGACAGCAAGACCATGGAGGGGGGATCCCCAAAAACACGGGAGACCCATCCAGGGCAGCACTTACTTGGGCACGAAGGGGCTGGCCTCCTCGTTTAGGAGGCTCTGGACATTCTCCCAGACAGGGAACTCAGGCAGGCTGAAGGCAGCTGGCTCGGCTGCGCCGGGCGAACCGTTGTACTCGCAGACCTCAAAAGTCACATTCAGGTCGTGGACGGGCAGGTCAGGCACGGTGCAGCAGTTTTGAGCAGCTGACATTGCCAGGGGCACGCGGCTTTTGGTGACTGTCAGCGGGCAGATTTTGGGGGTGCAACAGGATGGCACCGAGGAGACAGGGGTTGCCTGGGCTGCTGCTTTGAGACAGGTGGTGCCTGGGTTCTGCGTCACCCTGGGAGTCTCTGCTGCTTTCCCACCTCTCCTCTGGCGTTTCACCTGCATTTTGAGGCTGCGGGCAGTTCCCAATTGGGAAGCGCTGTTTGTCTCAGACCTCCTCCTCTTCTTAATCAGGCTGGGAGCCATTGGTGTGGAGAGCGGAGCGAGCTGCTCCAAGCATTGCAGGGTGGCACTCGTCACAGGGGCACTGGGCACGGCAACGGACGCCTCTGCTAAAGGAGCAGAGAAGAAACAGTCACCTCCTTGTCTGCAGTTCCCAGGCACCCCCCAAACCCCGGGGCATCCCTCTCTGCCCCCGGCACAGCTCAGCAGAGATCTGCCGGGTGAGCCCTACAGCAGCCATGTGCCAGCAGGCGTTCCCACCAAACTGCGTTAAACCCAGAGGAAGAGAGCCGGCACAAATAATCCTGCGCCTTGCCAGCCTAAAGGCACCAGACTGGTCCCAAAGCAAGTGCCCCATGGCAACGCCCAGTCCGTCCCCAGAAAACAGGGTCTGCAGAGCCCACAGCTTCACTGTCAGGTTCGTGCATTGGCACTGAGGATGAGGAGGAAGAGCTCAGCCCTGGTCAGATGCAGGCTGCCAGCTGGGATGCTACAGCCGGGCTGACTTGGGCAAATGTACCATGGAGGAGTAAACAAGAGAAGGAAAAAAAAAAATTAGGATCAGAACTGCTGCTTTGGCCTCCTGGAGCAGAAATACCACTCACGTTTAAGCTGACTTGCACACACATGCTGAGCTCCCCGGAGACAAGGGCTGCTCGCGGCTTGTGCCGTGCCCCAGGCTGCCAGAGATGCTGGCTAGCCTGAATCGCTCTACAAAGCGAGGCTGGAGCCGCTCTCGGCATGCCCCTCTCGTCACCACGTCAGGAGAAACGCCTCTCTCCCTGCGCCCATGGCTGGGAGCTGCCCCCGCCAAGACAAAGGAGAGGGGACAGCACCGACTGTCCCAAATCCAAATCCTCACCGTCACAGCCCTGCTGCATCCTCTGGGCTGGGGCAGCCTCGCTGACCTCTGCGGGTCTGTTTGGAGACGCGGCTTGCTCCAGGCTTACACCAGCCTCCTGTTGGACCAGGCGCTCCAGTTCCTCAAATTCAGAGACCATGTCAGGAGTTAGGAGGTTGGCAGCCTTCAGGATGGAATAGTGTTTTCGGGCAATGCTCAGGACAGCAGCTACAAGCCTGGAACACAGAGACAGACCCAACAATCAGTTAGCAGGTGAGCTTGAGCCAGTGTCACCAGTACCAGAGGCTCAGCACCACCAGCATCACACCTGAGACACCTCCTTGGGTGGGGCAGAGCCTGTTAGCAGAGTTTTGGGGGAAGAGAGGCAAGTTTTGAGCTGCGAGATACCCATGCTGTAAATCCCTTACTGGAGAACCTGAGCTGCGAGTTCACCTGTTGGTTACAAGGAACCAAATGGCATCCACAGACTTTTTGCTGGGCCTCAGACACTCGTTAGCTCGGCTAGAGGCAGACAGAGATCCAGGCACACGTCAAGGCCAGCCTCCCTCCAGAGGCCTTTCTAAAGAGGTTCATTCTGCCAAGATGCTTGGGGCAGAGACATCAGCAGATGGTGCCATGGGAGCCCTGCCAGGGCAGGACCTGGGGGAGCCAAGGCAGGAGGAAAGACTTCGCAGAGGTAATTTCAGCACTAACAACACGCACTTAAGGCTCGTTGTTAAGGTTGCTGTGCCTGGAAGCCTTCGTTGCTGACATTTCCAGGAGAGATTATACCATGGGATTAGATCCCTAGGAGCCAAATCCCTTATTTTACAGGGCAGGCAGTCATCTGCAAGCAAAGACCTGGTGCCACATCCATCTAGACCACCCCTAGGATGGCTACATGCAACACGGGAGGGTGGCCCACCCGTCCTCCATAGGCAAATGAGGAAGCAGCACATGGGGATGGCACGAGGACACTCACGACTCTCGCTGGCAGCTGGACAACCCCTGTAGAAGGTGGCTTGGCTTCTTCGGTTCCAGCTGGCCATCTGTCTGGTGGGTTGCTCTGGGGCTGCTGGAATGCATTTCCTCCGGAGCCTGCAGCAGTCACCCAAAAGCCCAGGATTAGCCCATATTTGAGCTGAGTTTGGTCCCCAAACTCCCTGTTAGCTGGCAAGTTAAGGGGTTTCGCTAGCAACCCACAGCCCAGCACGTGTTGAGCCAGGACCCCACAGACGAGCCAAGCTCCTGCCTTCTCCAGGCATGCCCAGCGTACCCCACAAGGGCACTGAGCCCCCCAGCCTCTTCTGGGCCCTGCTCGGCATGCCAAGCCCTCCCGCGCTGCCCACCCCTTCTCTCACCTCCTCCGATTCCAGCTGCAGCTCAACAGACCATCCAGCTTCCAGCTTCTGCTGCTCTTCATCACTCTCCCTCTGATCATCCAGGGCCAAGCATGTCTTTGGGACAGCCTCCTCCAACCTACAGAAGCCAGAGATGAAGCCACTGAGCCAGAGATCGTCTGGTGAAGCCATCATTTTGCATAAAGAGTTTTGGGATGGGTCAAACAGAAGATTTGGCCTTTGCAACCCAGCTTCCCTTGGTGCTAGTGTGCTGTGGTCTGCCAGGTTCATAACTGCACCCAACCATGGCCGAGATGATGGCGCACACCAGCAGAGAAGCTCACCTGCTGTCTGATGGACACCTAGGCTCCAACTGGCACTAACACCCGGCAGGCTCCTTGACACCGGGAGGTGACACCGAGCTCTGTCCCTCCTCCCCACCAGCCTCACCTGGGCAGCCCCACTGGGCTCGAGCTGAGAGGAGCCAGCGGCACCGGCACCTGGCTCTCCACCTCCTGGGCAGCATCCTCATAGGCACGAAGCTTCGCCCGCAGGTCTGCCACCTGCGAGGAAGGATCATCTGTTGCTCAGATGGTTTCACGACCCCTGGGAGCTCAGAGGTCTGCATCCCAAGCAAGCCACAGCTAAAGACAGAGCCCTGCCCTCCCCGCCAGCATCTCACCTCCGCTTTCAGCTGCTCACAGATCACGGCACAGTTACTGACGTGGCAGTCAAAGCTGAGCACATTGCTCTTCAGCTGCAGAGACAGGGACAAAGGAGAGGCTAAAGCACTGGGGCAGCACGTACCCCTCTCCCGGTGCTGGAGCAGCGCAGCTACTCAGCCTCCTCCAGGGTCCCCAGGGTGGCTGCAGTGGACATGATCTGTGCTCAGGGACTCGCTGTCCCAGTCATGAGCCTTTTGGGGCTCTGGGCTGAGGAGCTTTAGCAGAAGACCAGGCACACAGTGTCTGCAGCTTCATCAGCTGCTTTCTGCCCAGAGCTGGAAAACTCAAGCTGGAGAGGGGAGGCGCCCACCAATCTACCCCACCACGCACCAGGCTCCTTCCCACCCATCCCCAGCACCTCCCAAACACACAGCAGATCACCGCCGCAACGCGAGGTCCTCACCGACAGCTTGATCTCCTTGGCCCGGTTGGCGTACTTGAGCGTGTTGTAGGTGTCCTCATAGGCCAGCGCAGAGGGACTCACAGCAGCGATCATCATGGTGTGGCAGTTGCCACCAATGGAGTCCTTCAGCAAGCGCGTGAGCTTGCTGTCCCGGTATGGGATGTGGGTTTTCTTGCTCTGTAGCGAGAGATCAAGGGTCTGCTCAGCTTTTGGCCCTTGGGTGCTCAGTTCTGAATCTTGTGTTGTGAGGGGATGGCCACACTCATCCCACAGCACCACTCGGAGCTCAGCCCAGGCTGCCGTCCTCACTGCACTGGCTAGCCCGTCACTTGAGGACACCCCTCACATTCCCCCACCCCAGAGAGCCAGAGCCCAGCAGGGCCACACAAACAGCATTACCTTTGCATCAGCCAATGCATTGATGACGTTGATGAGGGCCAACAGCGAGCGGTTGATGTTGGCACCCTCCCGGAGACGCTCTCCCTTGGTGTTGGCAACTGAAGCTCGCTCCGAGCCTGCCAGGTCAACCAAGCTCATCTTGGCCACTTGTAGATCCCGAGCGAGGCCACCGACACGGTCCTGCTGCTTCACGTAGATCTGCAAGGACAGAGATCGGTGAGGCTGCAGCTCAACAAGGCACACAGGGTTGCTGGTTGGAGCCAGCATCACCAGTTTCAATGTCTATAAAAGGACGGCGAAGAGGATCACACAAGCCATGAGACTGAGCAGAGGAAAAAGAAGAGCCTGGCACACTGAGAAGAAAAGCCAAAAACTCAGCAATGACACTAGTAGCAAATCCACGGAAGGGATCTCGAAAGTGACAGAGCTACAGAAAATAATCAGTATGGTGAGCAAGCAGGGTACAGCTGGTTGGGTCCCCAAAGGGCAACACGCCAACCCAGAGCCCCGGCACAACCTGGGAAGTGCTCACACACTCGACTCTGACTGTGGATTTTGGCAGCAGACGCCAACAAGGGCTGCAAGCCCCCGGACGCAATCTCGCAGTGTCCCAGGGAGGCGTCCAGCCAAGGGTTTTGGTGCCGAGCCCAGTTCCCAGCTGGTGCAGGCAAGGAGGGACACAGGCACCGAGACTCACCTGGCAGCATCGCTCCATAACTTCCCCTTCTGCATCCCTAAAGATCTCCCCAGGAGCAGCCAAACGCTTCCCCCACCAACCTATAACACCCTCAGCCTCCCAGGAGCAAGTCCTGCATGGACTGGAGGTGCCACGGAGATGCTGGAGGCCAGTAACTGGTCTTGCACCCTCACCAGAGTGCGATTTGCCTGCTGGGAGACAGAGCCAACAGCGGGAAGGGCAGATTTCCAGCACAGATAACGGATTTGTGGTAGGCTGGAAACCAGCACCCACTGACAAGCCCAGCTGGGAAGCTGGCTGGGAAAGCATCCAGACACCTGGACTTCCCCCCCTGCAAGGACTAACAGGCAAGGCACCAGGTTCAGAGTGAAATTAAAGTCAGAGCCCTCCGTCTCCCTACACAGCCGTGATGGCCCTGCTAATTCAGGGAAAGGCCTGGCTGGAATTGAAATCAACTGGCAGGTTTGCCTAGGAGAGCACTGAGAAACCCTGAGAAAGAGGGGCCGGGGATGACAAATCTACAGACCCCTGGGGAGCATAATTCCCAGCTCAGTGCCAAGGGGGACACGACAGAGGAGACAGCCTGCCCGTGGCACCTGGGGGGAGGCACAAGCAGAAGCCAGTGATAATCAGCCCCCTTTGCTCTGGGTCAGGTTTTAGGTACGGCTCCCATGTGCTAAGTCGACAAGAGTCAAAAGCACAAAGTGAAGTTTCAGTGCTTGGGAGACGTAACACCAAGCTGGGAGTACAGGGCTGTCCAGGAGAGGTGGCCACCAGCACGTGCTGTCCTGCTGCAGCACAGGCTAGTGGCCTGCCCAGCCCCACACCTCTCTTTTCAGAGCCACGACCACTCCAATTTTCCCCACGGCACACCAGGAACAGCAGCAGGAACCCTGCAATGCTGGTCCTGGCACAGGCTTGCTCCCTAGCCCCCTTTTTGGCACAAATCCCAAGTCGTATCGCAACCCCCAGCCCTCACCTGGAAGACAGCGTGCGAGCGGGAGGAGGTGGCGTTGGCATCAGTGGGGTGCTGCGTCCGGTTTTTGTTGCCATTGGCCAACATCTCCAGGAGCTGCTCTGCCGAGGCGGGCTAGGAGAGAACGGGCAGAGGAGAGGTATCAGTGTGCCCCATATGCAGGCACCGAGAAAACCTGGCACCGAGCAGCCATGGTGACTCAGGCTGAGAGATCCCGCAGCTCTGGGGGGCTCATTTCAGCTCGGGGTCACATTTGCTGCCAGCCAGGAGCCCCGCAGACAGCACCCTGTGTCTTCACATGCACCCACATCCCCAGAACACGCATCCGCTTTCAGAACTGGTGTAGGTGCAGCGTCACCCAGACCTTGTGCCCATTTTTATACCCACCTGGTGGAAGGAGAGACCCTGAACCACGACTCCTTTCTCAGGATCCTCCCGGATGGCCAGAGGGCCCTTGGGCTCCAGGAGGTCATGAATCTGTTCGTTGTACACCTGGAGCAGGGAACTTGATGTAAGGCTGAGGTTTGGTTCCCCAGCGGCAAGCAGGGAGAGGAGCTTTGTACCCCAGGGTCACACACAACCTGTTGTCCCCCCCAACACCACCTCCAGGACCTCGTGACACCGAGAGCAGCCGACGGTGCTCTAAACGCAGAGGAGCGAGGGAGAGCTTTACTGGCAGGTCACCGTGTCACTGTTTCTCTAAAGCCCTTTCAGCCAGGAAGCCCTCATTGCTACATGGACCACGGCGAGGAAGAGAAAATTCCCCAACTCCAGATAGGAGAAACCACCAGCACCAGTTCATTGAACTGGGTGGGTGAGCCTGCTTTCAGTTGGGCTCTAAGGCAGCCCTGGGGACACCGGGCACAGCTGGCAGCACAGTGTGTACCCCAAGCGTGGCACTACAGGGTCTGGATCAACCCCAAATCTCAGCAACAGTGACCCGGAGGCAGGAGGGGACATGGCTGAGCCGCAGCGTACCTCCTGGTAGGAGACTAGGACCTCACAGCGCTTCTCCTCCTTTCTGGCCTCAATCCTCTTGTACAGCTCCACCATGGTGAGGTACATGATGCCGGGGCTTTTCTCGGAGCCCAGCATGGTGTAGGTTTTTCCTGCTCCCGTCGCGCCATAGGCAAACACTGGGAGGAGAAAGGATAGATGGTCGAAACGATCGTTAATTAATGGAAGCGGCATAACGGCTGCTCCTCGCCGGAGAGCTTCCCGCAGCAACCCCTGCGGCGGGGGTCGCTCACAGGCTTCGTGGAGATGCAGCAAAGCTAATTACCCTCCATGCTGTCTGCACCATCCTTTAGTGCGATTTTTTTTACCTCGTTTCAGCCTCTCTAATTTAGCAGGCAGGGACAGAACGAGTCCCCAGACCATCACCCGCTTGGAGGCCATGCTCAAGTCACCCCGAACCTTCCCTTTAACAAGGCAAGCAGCCCCATTCCCCCGCCTCTTACCAGAAGGTGTTTCTTCTTCCAGACCTTGTAATTCATCTAATTTTCCTGCCCCATCTTTCAACACCCTCTTTGAAGCATCACCATCAGAGCAGGACACGCTAATCTAGAGAGCCTCAGCCCTTCTCCCCATTAGCAGCACTCAGTGCTTCGTGACTCTCTCATCTGAGGATCCTGGAGTTATTTTATGCAGATAGAGACACGAGACGTGCCTGCCAGGTGGGCACGGTGACAGAGGCAGCCTTCAGCGGCTTGCAGAGCATGCCGGAGAGCCAGGAATAGCATCCTCCGGTCCCACTGCCCAGCCCAGCGCATGATTAGACAGGAGAGCAGTCGTCTCCCGCTCAGTGCCTGCCTTGCAGAAGTGATGTGCTCGTTAAGCCGCTCATCTGCTGACAGCCTGCGAACAGCACGAGGGTCTGCAGCGTCAGATGAGCTTTCCAGACCCGGCTTTACAGCGCTGCCAGCCTGGGAGGTGCTCATGAGGGGCACAGCAGCCCCCAAAGCACCCCAAGACGTGTCTGCTTCACCCCAGGTCCCACTCCAAAACTCAGCGTCCTACCAAAGCTCTGCCCATCACGGCAATTTGGGCTAGGAAGGGATGGCAAAAGTGAGGTGCTCTTGTGCCATGGATCCACCCAATTTCTTCCCATCCTTCCTGCCCCAGGAGAGCAGAGAACAAGTGATCCTTGTCCCTTGAAATGCCTGGAAAGGACCTGCCCAGCCTCATTTTCTACTGCAACGCCCACCTCCATCCTCTACATCACATCTCCTAAAGCACTGAGCACCATTGTGGCCCCTGTTATCGCAGAACCACAGAACAGCCCAGGCTGGGAGGGACCTGGAGAGATCATCTGGTCCAAGCTTCCGTGGGAAAGGCAGCCTGGATGAGACTATCTCATACCCTGTCCAGTAGCATCTTGAACACCTCCAGCTGTGGAGACTCCGCTACACCCCTGGGCAGGTTGTTCCAGTGAAGGTTCTCATCATAAAAAATGTATTTCTTATATTGAGATTAAACCTCTCCTGGTGCAACATGTACCCGTTGCCCCTTGTCTTCTTGTGAGAGGAGAGCCTCCATCCTCTCTGTGGCTGCCCTTTAAGCACTGAAAAACTGATGAGGTTCCCCCTGCTGGCTAACGGTTTTTAACTGACAGAGGGCAGGTTTAGATTGCACACGAGGAAGAAATATTTTACAATGAGGGTGGTGAGACACTGGACCAGGCTGCCCAGAGAAGCTGTGGATGCCCCATCCCTGGAAGTGTTTGGGGTCAGGTTGGACGGGGCTCTGAGCAACCCGGTCTGGTGAGAGGTGTCCCTGCATGGCAGGGCTTGGGCTGGATGATCTTTAAGGCCCCTTCCAACCCAAACCACCCTGTGACTCTATAAAAGCACTTCATGCTTTGCTGCCCCTCATGCCAACATTGGACAACATTCCCATGTCAGGAACATCCCCGTCCTGACCACACTTGCAATTGCCCCAGCTTGGTACCACCACCAAGTTTGAGGCTATTTGTTATTGTGTTGCTGTTGCATCCCGCCTCTCACCAACTGCTTGGGGGCTTCCAAAATAAATCCACGGCTCCGCTGAGCCCCCTCAGCCCAGGAGCAGATGGGGCAGGAGCTCCTACAGGGATCGAATGCGCTCGCCAGGTCTTACCGGAGC